CATAATTATGCATGGCTGGAGCCAGTAGAGATCGCTGAGGAACATGTGTGTGAACCTTGTTGAATATCAGGATGTGAGGTGGGAGCCAAAGTAATGGTTTTTGCAAGGGCTGTGATTTTCTGGAAGTAAATAACTGGGTAGAAAGGTGGAGGATGAACCCAAAACGTTTTCTGTACACTGACAGAACACGGGTGACAATGCAAGATGCGCTTTCACCTGGGTGTTCAGGTGTGTGGCAGTTAAATCTCAGAGATTTGGGAAGCAGCTGGCAGTGCTTGGGGGGTGGATCTGTGAGGGCAGCCTCGGTGTCCCAGCCGTGGGGCTGCAGCTCGCGGGGCGTCCAGCGCCCTCGAGCTCCTCAGACCCTTTGGTGTTTTGTGTCTAAGCAGCACGATGAAAGCAGCTCTGAGACTGGAAGGGTCTTTAAATCTGGAGTTAAATGGTGTATGTCTTGCCTTTTAAGTATATGGCCTTCATTTCAGGATTGGAGTTCAAAACTGGAGACCGTTTCATTCTTTCTCTGTGACACTCACTGCGGGTCCCCCTCCACCCGCCCTCCCTCATATTTAATTTTATAGTTCTTTCAGACATAAACATGAAAAAAAAGCAATTTTGACTTAGTTTCTGAGTGTTGCTGCAAAGAAAAGTAACAAACATCTGTTTTTACCTTAACTGCATCCATATGTTCAACCTCCCCATCACCCTCCTTCCCCAAAAATTTACAGCCGTATTTGGTGGGTACTGCATGCTGTTGAATTAACTTTCTTCACAGTTAGATTAGAGGGTAAGTTTGGAGACTGAAAATATCCATACTCAGCAGTGGCCAAAAGCTACATTATAGCTGAGCCAGGTTTTCAAAATTTTCACTCTTCTTTTGATCTACTTTCCTATTCCTCTTCTCCACGTCCCACCCCCCAGGAAAACAGGAGATGATCCAAGAGACTTATTTTTAGAAGTGGGTTATTGTCATAATCAGATACACATTAATTTGTGAAATTTGCTTATGGCTTTCATAATTAGAAATTAATTAACATTCAAAATACCATGTTTATCATGGAAGCATGTGGTTTGGAGTGCATACTGTGTGGGTTATGGTAAAGGGTTAGTCACCTTGTTTCCTATTATTGCTTCTTGTTGTAGCATCTGGAACAATTCTGGCCCTACCAAAGTTTTGGGTTTGTAGGGGATTAACAGGAAGAAGGCTGTTTTACTGGGATATTTGAGAAACAGTGAAACAAAATGCTGAATGATATTATCTTTTCCTTTGTATGCAGCATGCTTTCAGAGATCAGAGTTTGGGGAACTAAAGATATCTTTCAAACAAAGCTTTCCAGTTAGGTAGAGCCTTTAATAAATGTGACACTGGTTGTGCAAATTTCCCAAATATTTCTACCTATAAATACAAATAATCTGAACGTTTATATGCTCCAACAATGTGAGAGCACACATCCTTCCTCTGCCACTAGAAGAAGGTGTCTTAGTAATACCAACTAATGCAAGGAATATGTTTTTCAAGAAAATAAAGTTAGAAAGTTAGAAGCTGGGCTATAATTTGCTCAAAAGTGAGTTGAAAACTTTTGGACTGCTGGTCATTTTAGTGTATAGTCTCAGGTAACTAGAAGGTCATTTTCTTCAAAGGAGTTATTAATTATCTGTCTGAGGGAAAGATTCCCTGCTCCTAGCTGATTTTCTTTGACAGGTTAAACAAAAGTCTGAGTGTCTGATGGCAGAAATTCCCTGTATTTCTCTTTCTGTTGTTATGTAAATTGAGAGAATGAGGATTTATTCTAGCTCCACCACCCCATGTTTCTGCTGACAGAGGGAGGTGATCTTGCATCCTTCTGTATGTGATCCTTCAGAGTGAGACATGGTCAGAACATGGAGCTGACATCTGGATTGACTTTGAATACAATCTGGGAAAGGGATGGAATCATTTGGTGGTGTTAGTACATTCAGTCACAGTTAGGAACTGTTGGAGCTAAATAAGAAATCTTTATTCTTGATAATTAGGCAGAGGTCAGTAAGGAGGACGTGCAGATACCAATCCTTCTGCCTTTATGTGCAGTTTGATGGTTTATGAGACCTCATTACCTGTGGTAGCACATTATCTGAAGGTAGATTTTTCCAGGTTCTGTTGGCTGAAAGGGAAAGGTTGTGTCAGAGAGCTGTTGTAATCCTGGAAATTTAGGCTGTTGTAGTTTTTGGAAGGACCAGGTAGAACCACAATGAGACTGAACGTGTGCCAGAGCTGTAAATGCCAAATGCTACCTAGATCATAAGCATGGATGTGGAAACTGAAAATGGAGAATTTGTGGTTCTGTAAGGCAGGCTTTGGCACTGCTCAGCAGTTTCACCAGTTCTGACAGAACACCAGCTGAAAACTGCCTGATTCCTGGTTGAGGAGAGTATTTTATACTTGTTTCTAATCATACCTGTGTCTTTTCCAGTTTTTATGTTGCTGGAGAGGACTGAGTTCCTCTGAGACCTGGACAGTGCAAACCAGCATCCTGACTGGTGATCTTTCACTGATTAAAGCAATTAGAACATCTGATTTTTGTTCTGTGTCAGTTTTGGGCTCTTGTTATGATGAATGTGTTTGAAGTATTTTAAATACTCTGCATCAATATGTGCTAATCTTATGTTTAATTTTCCCTTTCTTAGTACTGGCACTATATAAGAGAGTAAAGTTTGTAGAGGTAGCACTGGGAGTTCAAGGGCATAAAGGTTTCATGGATAAGACAAAATTTGGACTCCCTTTAAAGGCTGAACATGGGTTGTTTGGAAATGGAAGTTTCTGTATTGATCCTAGGTCACTATAAAAAGATGTTAACAATTCTGAAGCTTATTTCCTCATTTTATCTATTCTATTTTCAACTTGAAAAGAAATTCACAGGGGTTCTTCAAGAATATTTTATTTATTTTGAGTATTATATTGAATATATCTTTTAAAGGAAATAAAAAGTAGATCCTATAGACTGTTGCTTTGCCCTAAAGACTTTAATGAGCCCAGAATAACTGACCTCCAGGGCTGCTGGCATTCTGTTTGCCTGGGATGTTCTGGCTCTATTCTTGAACCAGTGCAGAATTTCCATTTGCTAGTAAAAAGATTCCTCTGAATCTGCAAGTAAATGTAGGCAAATCTTTTTAATCTGGATTTTTGGAACCTAACAGCTTTTTATTGAGAAGAGAGAGCTGCTGACCAGTGTCTGCTGTTGCTTTGTTAATGCCTCCTGTCTTAAGGGACCTGGATTTCTGTGCCCTTGTGATTCCCTTGCTATCTCCAGTCACAAAAACCCAGATCTGAATTTTAATGTAGCATGTCCCATCAGTAGGAAGGGGACTCTAATGGTCTTACTGAGCTTCACTGTGTCACCAATCTGATATTGCTGCTCCTCAGAAAGCACTGGGTGGATCACAGCGTTTGTCTGTCAGATTGCAGCCAGCTTTTTGATAAGCTTATTGACACACCAGTTCTTTGAAGATGAAGGTGCTTCCCAGAGTGGGCAAGAGTGTTAAAATCTGTCCCTGGAGTAATTGCAACCCCTGCTCTGCTGAGTTCAGATGTTTCAAAGGCCCTGCCAAATGGAATAAGGTCAAGTGTTTTGGATGGCATCTTTCCTGCCAGAGGTTGATTGTTTTTGATGATCTGGAGGCCTCAGGTGCATTCTACTTTTGGTCTTGGTATTTCTGTAACAAAAGAACATTGTGTGTCCTAATAATAGTCTTTATTGTTACCTAAAAATCCTTATTTGTAAGAATAAGATCAGTGTGTTCTTCCATTGTCTCAAAAGTTTTAATGGGTGGCTAAAATAGAAGAGGAATAGAAGTGTAAGGAGCCTCAAGGTGTGTTGGGCCATGAGAAGGAACAACCTCTGAGAGGAAAAGAAGGTGTAGTAACAGCTAAAATGTGCCTAGTGGTTTTGTGTTTAATTCATGCATCCTCTATAAAACACTTTTTGAAGGGCCTGGTTTGATTTTCAGGACTTCTTTTGAAAGCAAGCAGTGCTAATGCCTCACCTTAGGTGCTCAGCATCACTCAGTGCTTTTGGGAATGTGGGGCTCAATAAACTGAAGTATTGCCCCATAGGATCCCTTGGCCCACAGCAAACACAAGGAAATTCTACTTCATTTAGCTCCAAGTGAAGGAGATGAGGTGGATGAGTTCAGATTTTCTGTGGGTAGTACAGGGGCCTCGCTGACAAGAAAGAACTTGTTGAATTTTGGCTGCTTGGTTTTTATCTTTAAGCCAGTGGGGCAGTGGGTGGCAACATGGAAAACTAGCTGGGTGTGCCTAGGCAAGAGGTGTAAGTGGGCACAGTTTAGAGTAGTTATTTGTAAGAAATCACTAAGCAGGAGGTGATATTTTCATGTATGATTTGTGAAGAAAGGGATAGAGCACGTTGCTGAAAATACAGAGAAAGTTTCCTAAAAATCTACTGCATTTGTTTTCACATTCTTCTTTAGCTGCATTCATATTAAGTCTTGGTGTCAGTGCTTTAATGCATCCTAAAGGTGTTTGCTTGTTTTTTAAAAAAAAAAAGAAAGAAGAAAAACCCTTGGTGTTGCTTTCCTTGCAGTTATCACTGTGAAACTAAGCAACGGTGTTTAAATAGAAAGTAGAACACCTAATATCCATAGAAACTTCTTTAAAATGAACTTTTGTTTCTGAGTTGGGATACAAACAGGATAAGCCAGTGTTGGAAAGGAAAAATGGAGCCAATAAAGGGGGTTTCTGATTATAATAGCTGGTTTCTGTTTAATATCATGGAGCAGGATGAGGTTTTGCAGAGTTTCTCATGGAAATAGCATCCACAGTCCTAAAATGATTACCTCATTCTTAGTCCCAGTGCCAAGCACTTAGCCCCACAGTGAACACACGGGGTTGATTTTCAACATGAAACAAGCCAGAAGTGTGGAATGACATTTTCAGGTGACAGTTATGGTTCTATTGCCTGTAATTAGCACCTCTTAACATGCAAACCTGCCCGTGCCTTTTCCAGGCTGTTGAAGCTCAAATCCGAAGCTTTGGACAGACCCCTTCCCAACTGCTCATAGAACCACATCCTCCAAGAAGTTCTGCCATGCAGGTGGTAAGTACCAGGTTAACTCTTTGTGACCTGCCTTTCTGTTCACCTCCTTTGCTATCTTGGAGTTCCAGAACCAGCCAAAAAAAAAGTTGGTTTTGTTAGTGCCATACCTGTACAGGTGAGAGCCAGTCAGTGTGGAGACAATTCAGTTAAGCTTTGGCAGATTCCCCAAGAAACATGGATTTAGGAGGTGGAACTTCCTTGTCTTTTCCCCCAGGCATAGGTTTTCCCTCAAAACCAGGATTACTGGGAATTCATGAGCTGAAACCTACACAGCAAAGAATGTGACTAAATGTGTTTTGCAGTAAAGCCAGGGTGATAAAATCCAGGCAGTGAGCATTAACATGCTTTCCCTTTTACCTCTACTCGTGTCTAATATAATTTTATTATACAAACTATTATTATATTACTGGTTACTTTCCATAACATGTTGTGTGCAGTCCTTGGGTCTAAAATACCATTTATGTGGTCGTAGATCCAGAACTAAGTATATTCAGTCATATGCTGAGAAGTGAAGCAAACAGGCTGCTAATTCAGAAGTTTTTCCAAAGGTTGCCTTCCCTTATTGTTGAGATGTTAATGTTTGTGATTTTCACTGACAAAAGACATTTTTGTGTATGTTCTGTGAGACCTGTGTCCTGCTCAAGCAGGCTCAGGTTATTAAAAGCATCTCTGAAGGGCAAAGGTTTTAGAAAAATTGCAGAAAAATGTTTCCAAAGTAGCTTACAAACCTTGTGATGTAGGAGTCTAAGAAATGTAAATTTTCTTGGCAAATTGAGTTGCTCTCCTGCCTCAGCTATGTCAGGTGGTGGACGTGAGGCTTGCCCAGCTGTCAGTCAGTTGGTGTGGTTTTATCATAATATTTTTCATGGTGCTGAATTAGTAAAGATTTGTTCTCTAGTGGAAGAAGTTAAACTTTATGAAGTTAACTATTTCTAGCTCCTGTGGGTTTTTTTGGGGGCTGAGGTACACAGAGGAAAAAAACCTCCTTAGTTCTTCGCTTCCTTTGGCAAGTTTTGTGGTTATTAATACATGATTTTATACCAGCACTATATGAAGTGGTTTTAAAAGCAGCATTGCTGGAGCCAAAACGCAGTGAGGCTGTTTCTTCTCTCACAATCTGGAATTATTGCCCATTGTCTTGTTGATTTTGACATTTCCATCTACTTTTTCTCTTGCCTCCTCCATTTCCATGCGTGGGGGTGCCCGCCTGGCTGAGCACAGCCCAACTGCCACGTGCTGTGTGCAGTGCACAGCCCATAATATACACCCAGTGCAGTAATTAGCAGCCACACGAATCCTGCCTATTTGTCTGGCTTTGCTGCTGTTGCTGTATCCCCTTGTGTTTTCAACCATCAGATAGCTGGATTTAATTGAGGCCACATCAGATGAGGCATTACTGACACCTTTAATTGAATGAGCATCCAGGGAGGATTAACTCATAATATTGATTGGCTTTTAGCCACTTGCTCAGAAGGGTGTCTGGGTAGCTTATTAGTTGCTTTTATTTACACCTTTATGCAAAGACTGTAAATAGGAATTCATAGAGCAATATGTTTTTCTAAGTACTCTTAATAACTTTTTAAAAAGGAGTGATAATAAAAATGCAAATGTATTTAATTTTTTTATTAGTTCTTTATAAATACATATTAAACGTGTGCACTTACATACACATATATGTAGTGAAGTACTGCAGGTGGGAAATAGCCCAGGACACTTCATTAGTGTTCTAATTCAGTTATTAGGAAATGGCAAACACTGGAGCAATGGGACTACTGGTGACTAGGATGTGTTTCTACATCTCAGTGGAGTTCTCTTTTTTAGGTCCACCACCCCATCACAAACCCATTAAGTTTTGCTTTTCATCCTTATGTTTGATACCCATCTCTAACATCCTCAATGTTTTGTTTCAACATTTGCAATATTGTTAGAGAGCTTAGTTAGGAAGTTACTAAACTTTTCTGCTTAAGAAATGAAAAAAAAAAAAACCAAAATTTAAAAATATTATGTTAAAAAGGAGAGTCTGGATTCATTCCCTTGGTTTAGTATTTCTAGAAACAAGGCAGGATAGTATCTGTAATCACATCCACTTTATATTCTTTACAACTGCATTTAATTATGTTTGTCCTTTGAAACACATTTGCAGTGAAATCTTCTACTCTGCCTTCATAAATCTTATTTTTGTGCAGCAGAAATATATACAGAACATAGATCTAGTGTATGTGTGTATCTGTTTATTTTAATGTGCTTGCTTGTTCTCATCTGGCTTGTGAAGAATTGCAGTCTGCCAATTTAATGCAACTTGAGACAGTCTCTGGGAGCAGGGATTTTTCTGTTGCTTGCTTTTTTTTTTTTGCTTTGTTTTGTTCCCTCCTAGTTTGGCATTGCTTTCCTTGACATCCTATCTCTGCAGATAGGCAGGAGAATTCTTTTGGCAGAGACAGGTCATTGGAAACTTTTAGTTTAGTCTTCTGTAATCTGTAGCAGAGTTTGTCTATAGACACCCCTGTTCAACCAGGCCCTCTAATTAATAGCATCCACAAAGGTTTTTCTGCCTCAAAGGGTTGTTTCCTCCAGCCTGCCCACTGTTACTGCATTTGCTTTTCACTGAATCTTGTGTGTTTTAATCCAATCTTCCTTCTCTTGTCCTGTCTTCTCTTCTCCTCCCCGTGTTTTCTTCTCCCGTGTATTTGGGTTCTTGTTGTGTGCACTCAACAGTATCTCCTCCTGCAGAGCCCCTTGATGTTCACAGACCAAGCTCAACAGGACGTTATCATGGTTCTAAAGTTCCCATCCAACTCCCCTGTCACCCACGTAGCAGCCAACACCCAGCCTGGCCTGGCCACTCCTGCTGTGATCACAGTTACTGCCAACAGGCTCTTTGCTGTGAACAAGTGGCACAACCTTCCTGGTAAGTAGAGGAAAGTAAGTAGTGTAAGAAACCCCTGCCACCCAGCAGAACTCCCACTGTCCCTCTCAAATCTGCTGCAGAACTGTTGGAAATCTGAAGTGTGAAGAACAAGCCCTGTTTGTTGACAGCCTGCTCTTCACGTGTGGTCTTTGTCCTTAAAAAAGGAGTTGTGTAGTAACTGCTACTCACCTGTAGTGACTACAGCTGAACTGCTGTGTGGTAAGGTGTGGAGCACACAAAAGGTTTGTCACACCAGTGCATCACTTTCCAGGCCATCAGGCACTGTGCAAGAAGACAAAACCAGTATATTTGGTCATGATAAACTCACACTTGCCTGAAATCTTTTCTCCCATCTTTTTCTAGTTGATTATGAACACCATATTCTGAGGTTAAAGCCACTCAGTCTTCAATAAAAGATAAAATATATGGGCTATCTGTATCTTCTGTCACTTAAACATCCTAAAGTCATTAGGTGCTTATGTATTTGTTATTTGGAAGGAAAACAACATATCCCCATTTGCATAGCAACCAATCAAATTATTTTCCCTTAAAAAATGTGTTGAGAATATAGTTATTCTGTTTTCAGTTGTAATGTTCTCTGATTTTAAAGGCACTCATCCTCCTTTCCCTGACTCTGGCAGTCTCAGGCCCAAGCTCTGAAAGGTGGTTTATTCAGTGCTCTGCAGTAAATCTGGTCAAAGGCTTTTCAAGGAAGGAAAAATAGAGCTTCTACTCAAATAACTTAAATAGAAGATGTTAGCACCAGAGTAATACATCACTGAAATTCCTGCTAAGAAATCTGGACCTGTGGGCCTTGATTACATTTTGAAAAAAGCCAGATGACTCTCTACTTTTTCCTAATTCTTACAAATTACCTCTCAACATTGTACAAATAGAAACATCTACATATTAGTTCACCCACCCAAGAAATCCTTAAAACTGAAAGGTGGGAAGGAAGGGGGCAAGGGAGGCTTGTCTAGATAATAAGTTGTGAGCAAGAACTATTTACAGGGCTCTTGAGATTTGTCTGAAAGGAGGATGGCAGTACCCTCTCATACATTGGGTATGTGACCTTGGGCATGTCTTATTCAAAGCTTTTAAAAAATAGCCTTTGTGGACATACAACAGTCATGGGAACAGAAGAGGTTCTGAAGTGGTAGGAGTTGATTTTGATTGCCTTGTGAGTCTGCTGGTTGATGAGCTGTGAGCAAGGAACCAATTGGTATGTGTAGTAATCAACTGTTTTAAGCTGAACAAAACCTCCAGATTTTGGCTTTTCCCTCACCTCTGAAAGGGAGAACAGTAAGCCATGCTTTGGAATCACTTTATTTTCCATTTAGAAGCATTTTAAACTTGTCTTGGCTTTACAAAGTGCTCAAGAACACCTGCAGGTCAAGCCTAACAGCCAACCAAACAAAACAAACACCCAACAAGCCCCAATCTCTGAGAGCTGCAGGCTGTTAGTGAAGTACTGTGCTTAAGATATCCAGGTATGGACACCTGAGACTGGTCCTCACTCTTGTTGCCTTCAAATTTTACACCAAAATGGGACCTGCTAGGACTAGGAGAAAGCATCATGACCACTCAGTATCTGCTGGGGCTTGGTGTTATCCTTGCTAATGAAGCATCATGATCAAACAGTTAAGTTGCCAGCCAGCTGACCAGTTGTCACTGATGTGTAATTAAAGTTGTCATCCCTGCTGGTGTGTGTGGCTTTGGTGGCTTTGCTGACATCTCGTGGCACTGGCACCCAACAGGCTGCCCCCATTTTGTCACCTGCATTTCCTGTTGTGTTCTGTGTTAGCGTTTCATTGCAGCAGAACTTTGACTTCCCAATTAGTTATTAAATCCTTCTACTGATGCAAAATTTTATGGTAAGCTATGGATAGGAGACAAAAAAAATCACAGGTCTAATTTTTCAGCCGTTATTTTTCGTTCCACTTCCAAGTGTTTGGGGCTGCTTTGGGAGGCGTTTGCTTGTTTGCTTTTTGTGAGGCTGTGGAAGAAAAAAGGCTTTTTTTTTACCACTGAAGGAAGATTCAGGAGGTAAACATTTCACCAGTGTGCCAGGTACCCAGATGAAAGGTAGGTCAGTGGAATCATATATTAACTTCTATGCAAACTTGGAAATAAATGGGGTTTGGTGATGGATGAATCCTCAAATACTGGGTGACTGAGATACCCTCTCTGCATCATAAACTGACTTTTTTTTAAAAAAAAAAATGTCCTTTGTGCTTCACTTGTTCAAAGCAGTACTTTAAAAAGTAAAGAGGAAAATAGTATTTGCTACAGTCAGCAGATGGTTGTCACATTTTGTTTTCAGTGCTCTTTACCACTTAATTTTGTTTTGTTGCGACAGGAGAGGTTGCCAGTAAAGCATCTGCTGGAGCTTATGGCTCAGGACTGGAGCTGCTGCTGGTGGCATACATTCAGAATAGCACTAATCTAAAATAAATGTTTAATAAGCAGCCTGTGAAAGCACCTGGTATTTTCCTTTCTTTGTTTTTTAAAGTCAGTTGATGCTGAAGAATCTGGGATCGTTAAAAAGCGGACGTAGCTTTGATTTATAAAATGTGTGTGGCTTCACGTGTGAAAAAAAATGCAGAGTTTTAAATTCTTCTTTCCTGAATTCCAGCTCATCAAGGTGCTGTACAAGACCAGCCTTACCAGCTGCCAGTGGAAATCGATCCTCTCATAGGTCTGTCACTTCCTCCTCTCTTTGCGATTCATTAAGCTCTGTATGGTGGCCCTGAAGTGTAGATTACGGTTGTTTTTCACTTGCTGGTTGCTGGGAATGGAATTTTCCTGATAAACCATTTGCATGCAAATTGGAATGCAATGAGCTGTGGCTATGCTGGTATTTCATCAACTCCCCCTCGTTGGTTTGCCTAATTTGAACAGGCCTAGGACGCGTGTCAGTGAAAATTAATATGGATGCTGTAATAATGTGTGATTGAGAATGTGCATGAAGTACTGTCAGGATAATATTGGATCTTTTCATCACTCAGACTTGTTGATGAGCAGGAGCGAGGCACGTTATGATGAATTGGTGCCCTGGTAATGTGATGGAGCTCTTTGGCTGAGGAAATTTTCATAATAACAGTGGGGTTCTTAACCGCGCCGTGTTGGGAAAAATAAACCCCCGGTGCCAGGGTTTCATCATTAAAGGAGATCAATCCTTCCCTCCCAGGCCTGCTGCTCGGGCTGAGGGGATTAATGTGCAATGGCAGAGCAGTTTCAAAGTTGAAATATATTGCCCACTCTGTTTTATAGCGAGATATTAGTATTCATTTTTCAAGGGCCTGCATCTTCGGGTCGGCGTCACTGGCGAAATTTGGGGGTGTTTTCCTTTTATTCAGAAGGGGTGGAGGAATGTCTCTCTCTTATTTAATGACTCGGTGGAATAGATTTGGTTAATGGCTTTTATTAGAGAGGTTTATGAGTTGATATGGAAATGATTTTTTGTGGAGGAATGTCTCTCTCTTATTTAATGACTCGGTGGAATAGATTTGGTTAATGGCTTTTATTAGGTTTATGAGTTGATATGGAAGTGATTTTTTTATTAGCCTGGTTAGGATTTGGTCAGTTCTTTCATTATAGCCCACACTCTGGGGAGTGCACACTTGGACTGTAGCTCAGGAGTCTGTAGCGTGGCAAAGGGAACCTTAAACTCAATCAGAAAAAGCAAACCTCACACAACCTACCCCAAAATCACAAACTAGTTATAGGACACTTTTCAGGAGCAAAGAAGACACGTTTCCCTTCTCATCCCACCCCAATTCTATTAGACTGCAAACTTAGCTCTGTTTTTTCAAGCTGACCATTTCAGCATGGTAGCTTAAGTGCAAAAGAATTGGCCAAATATAGAAGCACAAAAAAATCAGAGCAAAAATGAGCTTGCCTGGGCAGGTTGGAATGACAAGTCTGTCAGCCAGTGAGAATTAATTCTGAAACTAATACACATATCCCAGTAGAAGCTGCATTGCACTGGTCTGTGGATACAGAGTGTTGCTATCTGGTCATTTTGCTGGGTAAACTCTGTGATAATTATGTTGAGATCAGTGTGGGCATGCTACACCCTTTTAGAGACCTCATCAGATGTTCTTCTGAAGTTTTTAAAATCTATTCCCATCTGAATAATGCAAATGGGGAGGACATGTGCTGTAACTCTCCTTTCCTCCCTGAAAGAGAATTTATCCAAAAATATTTTGAGCAGGAAATGTATATTCTGCTTTAAAACCTACTGTAAAGTAAAGTATAGCTTAGAAAGATAAATAAACATCACAGCAAAAAAAAACCCCAACAAAATCACATTGAGTCTGTCTCATGATTTTTCTACAAATTGTGACGTTAAGAAGGAAATAAAAATTTTTATTTTCATTTGCATTTTTCATAATTTTAGAATTATAATTCCACTTTCAGGCTTTCCTTTAATTTACAAAGTAATTTTACTTTTGATTGGTATAAACACCTTTACAATTAATGTTCACAGTTCTGAAGAATGGTTTCATACACTCTTCATACAACAGATCTCAAATCAGCCTTGTGATTCCATTGGACATAGTTTAAAAGGTTTAAGGCTTTCTTTGTCATTGTTAAGTAGCATCACTGGGTACAAGCAAGTAATTACATAGATAATATTAAAGGTTTTTAATTGTGGCTAGACACATTTACCTAGAAATGGCACCTAGGAGGACCACAAAATTGCACTTTTATGGTTATAGCAGGTATCTTGTCTCAGTCACAAGGAGGGATTCCTGCTCCCCTCATTTTCCAGTCGTGCAGGGAGATGTGAAGCAGTTCTGTCTGATGTGACAGATGCTAGACCTCCTTTTGAGGTGGGATTTTTTGGAGTTCTTACCCACACTGAATATATTGATCTGCATGGGTTTTGGGAGTGTTTATTTGCTGTTCTTTTGTCACACAGAACACATCACTCTGTGTGTATAATGTGTTATTATTACTCTTCAAGTGGTCCCAACTGCAGTGGAGGCTCTGTTATGTGTTAGCTGCAGAGCAAGTGGCAATATCTTGCTCAATTATTTCCTTCTCATATGGATAAGATGTTATCAATATTTTAAATATAGAAAAGGGTTTGATACAGAGTAAATGGAATAAGCCCAAGGCTTAAGGGAGAGCTAGCCCATGAGAATGGAAGGAAGTTAAAGAACAAAGAGTAAAGAGCACAAGAGCAGGACAGGGGCAGGTCCAGGGAACCACCTGAAATGGAAGAAATGGTGTTTGAGCAGTCAGCAGACAAACCCAGGCCCAGGAGATCTTCCTTGCCTGAGCTGGGGCTCAGGTTCCCTCAGGAGCAAAGCATTTTAAAAGGTTTTCCTGCAGTGCAGGATTTTCATTATATATATTTGTAGGGACCTGTATATCTATATCTATATCTATATCTATATCTATATCTAGGCAAGCATATAGATTAATAAAGACAAAAAACAATATGAAAAATGTGTTCATTAATTGATTCCTGTTGATTCTGTGGGTTTGCAATGCAAAATTATCTGGGGAAATAAAGCAGCGGTGATCAAAATAGGGTAAATATTTCCAACCCTCCAGGAGACTGTGGAGATAAGCTGGTTAATTTCTGTGCTTTGCTCAAAAAAATGTGAAATGGTGTGGTGATCTTCACTGCAGTTCCTCTTCTTTTAATATTACAGTGCATGCAATGAAATACAACTCTGTGTGCTTTTGAAATGGTAATTCTGTTGTCTGCTGCGTTAGAGCCACGAGATAGCACATTAGTATATGTGTTGTCTTATAATTACATTCCCTTCATTTCTTTCTTAATTTTTAATTGCCTATACTGGAAGAAGCAGGGAAGAAGGTTATTACATTTTTATGTATCATTCCTTTCTGCAGTCTTTCATTTATATTTGTCAGCTGCATTTGACTTAAAGAAGGGATTTCTTCTGTTTTCATATATATACTACAAGGATTTAGCATTGTTCCCAGAAGTGTAATGAGAGTTTTATAATAAAAGTAGAAAGAAAATGTCCCTGCTACAAAAAAAACCCCAAGTAACAGCAGTGAGGAATAGTTCTGTGAACGTAAGCTTCTAAAATGTGGATGTGGATGCTAAAATTTCTCCAATTTGTGTGTATGTCTGTTCAGCCAGCAATACAGGGATGCACAGGAGGCAAATCACTGACCTTTTAGACCAAAGCATCCAGGTCCATTCCCAGTGCTTTGTCATCACCTCTGATAATCGTCACATCTTGGTCTGTGGCTTCTGGGACAAGAGTTTCCGAGTTTATTCCACTGACTCAGGTAATGTATTTTGAAAACATGGGAACAGCCTGAAAGACTCTTCTGTTCATCATCAACCTACTATTTCAAATAAATAAAGAAAGGATGAGGAGGGGAGATGGCAAGTGCAAGACAATGAGCTCTTGTTTAGCCATAGCATCACACTTTGAATGTGTATGACAGGCATGCCTGTTCTTACATTGCAATTTCCACAAGCAAATGAGGTTTTGGGAAGATTTGCATACCAGGAGAATTAATTGTTCTTAGAGACCTTACTTTAATTTAGCTCTGGTTGGTTTTCAGCACTGGAGAATGGGTTTTTTTTGAGGAAATACAGCCAAGCACCACAGAAAACAGAAGTGAAGTCTTGAAATCTGGTGAAAGAATCCTTCTGAAAGCCTTTGAAAGCTGTGCTCTAATAGAAAAATTGATTTGGAGTGACCAAATTCTTTCATAGGACATAAACTGATGGATATAATGGGGGGCAGTTAAACCAGTCTGTCAGCTGGCATGTACCCAAAGTGTTGGAGTCATGCATGTGTCATGCTAGAGAGAAAAGAATCTTTCAATGTAGGAGCTACAGGAATTTAAAAGCCATGGAGCCCCAGAAAAAAAATAGGTATGATTTTTTCCCTTTCATTATCTTATAATGGGAATAGCAACCTGACTGAGAGGTACTTCTTTGGGATTAATGACCCAGCGTGGTTAATGTGTGTGTGCCATCAAGCTTTCCAGTAGGTTATTAATCCCTAGGGAATATGTTTGTCATCATTTCTGAAATATATTAGTTAATAGTGTTTTTCACACTTGGTAAACCAAAAATGTTTAAAATACTAGGATGGTCTTTAATGAAAATCTGTTAAGATTAGGACTCATGGCATGTTGTAGCATATCTGTCATTTTGTGCTTTTGAAGGCCTAAGTATAAAGAAGTTCCATTTACTTCACACTGACTGACTAGGGTTCATTATCAGACAGCTCGTTAGACCCTTCTTAGTTTCATTTTCTCATTGATGAAAATAAATTTACATAAAGGTGTGAATTCAAAGGAGGTCTTCAGAAAAGTTAGCTAGCAAAAATACATATTCAGTGTATAGTTTTGATTTATGTGAGTAGAGGACTAATTCTTTTATGTCCAAGGATACATTTTACTTTACACTTATAGAAGGAGCTTGAATGATTTGGGTAGCTTTGACCTGTATCAGTCAGAACTACAAATATCTCATTAAGTTATGTCCTTTAAAATCAGATCCACCAGGTATCTTTACTACCATAACCAATCATTACTATCATAACTATCAACTAGCCATAACTTTTATCATTACTACCATAACTAATTATGGTATAAACCACAATACAGTTGTCAAAAAAGTGGCAGAAGATTTGTGTCTCCTGTCTGTCAGTAGAGCAACTGGAGCTCTTAAATCAAAGGAATTCCAGTGGAGTTCATTTTGCTCCGAATCAAAGTGAGACTGTGGTGGTGAAATGCACTGAAGTCAGCAGAACAGCAAGGGAAAAGGAGGGTGTGAGCAGTAATGCATAGTGGCAAGTGATCACAGGGCTTGGATTCAATTATATTTTAGCACTTAGACAAAAGGGAAACCTTTTTCCTATTCAGTTTTGGGGTTGTTTGAGGTTTTTTTTTTTAACAGGAAATACTTGTAACATAAATCATGAGTTCTCAGCACAGCTAGCATAGCAGAAGCACCATAAAACCTTCCTCCATCAGGAATGATTTCTAGACAGCATTTTAGATTCAGTAGTGCAGAGACTTGAGTCTTATTTTTCTTTTAATTATTCCTAGCACAGCTGTCAGATAAAACATTAACTAGAAAATTTGTTCTGTCAAAAAGGAATATCTGAGTGCACATGGTAAATTCTGGTACTGCTGGGTAGAGAGGACAACTATTAAAGGAAACACAAAAAAAGCTGAGGAACACTTAGGAGATTAGTGATTTCTTTTTCTTTTTTTAATTAATATGAAAGAACAAAAGCTTACTTCTTGTTTTGATGGAATGGATTGAATTAGCTGCACAGTAACAAAGTAAACCTAACAAGGCAGTGCAGGTACATGAACTGTCAAACAAATAGCCTTGAAAAATGTTTGTTTTCTATAGCAGAAACTATAAACGTAGAATATAATTGAAAGAGAGCTCTCTATAACTCAGCAGTGTTTATAGCATAAACTTGTGTTCTGGAAGTATAAATCACCTCAGGTAGTTGAATACCTGTGGCTGTGCAACCAAAGAAAATATCACAGAATTAAATTATTCTCAAATCTCAGCCGTGTAATTGACAACTGGAATTTTGAGGGAAAAACCATACACTTGGCAAGATGGTTTTGTGTACTGCTGAAATGAGGTTATTTAGTCTGGGAGTGTTTCATTGCTCCTGGCTGTGAAGTTCAGTAACTTTTTCTGACTAAATCTGTCAACTCTTCAGCATCTGAGACAGTGAGGTGAGCCTGTGGCACAAGTTAAAGCCCTGGTGTGCAGAGGTGACTGCTATAAAACACTGCTACAGACTCACAGGGACGAGGCCAGGACTTGATCCCCAAATTCCTCTCATTTCTGGTACAAGGTAGATCTGCATAGTCATCTTACCTTCCAGAGTTTTACCCCATCCAGTCAGAAGAGGCTCCTGTGATAATCCTTCATTTCACAGTTTTGCTTGGAGTATTACACTTGCCTGATAAGTTTTATCAGTGTTTTATTTTAAATCTGATGTATAGATTTCCCTTAAGCAGCATCATGTTAGTGTATTTTTTCTTCATGCACTTAAGTGAATAATTCCCATTTTTTGGAGATATTAATAACTTTCTCTTGGGTTTTGGTTTTTGTTTTTGTATTTTTTTTATGTTTTTCCCCACTTCAATGCAATTCCCTTTTTGGTCTTCCCATTTTTATTCTTCTTTCCTTAGAACCACTCCCTTAAGTCTTTTATTCCTGTTGGTGTTCTTTAGCAGCTGGATAGGAATTCCATGCCTTGTACTGCCTAGAAAGAAGGCTGTGAAGTGTGTCCTACCTGGCATATTATATAATTGACTAATAATTTTTAATTCATGCACCAAAATATTATCTGAAGTTGAATTTGAGTCCAAATATTGACTTTTGTCACCACTTGTCATGTTACTCGTTATTATTTTTAAAAACTCTTCAGAACATTTTATTTCAGGTCCAGCAGTTTGCATTTCCCATTTCTTGGTGGCACGTGTTGTTAATCCATTCCAAAGCCATCACTTGCTTCTCTTCCTGTCCTTCCCCATTCTTGTTTCACCCCAAAGCACAAATGGATGCCTGGTTTTTGGGCTGAGGTCTCACACTGATGGCATCACACGTCACTCTTCCCTGTGCCATTGGATGCAGAATTTGGCCTGGCCCATGTTGGACCAAGTAGGTGCATCAGAAATGTGTGCCTGTGTCTTTTGCCCTGTCTCTACAAGAACTGCACTTGCTGGGCTTCAGCAAATCCAGTGAGGTGGATTTTGGTGCTTACATTCTTGTTTTACAGGCTCATGTATGCTGCTGGCAGCTCCCAAAATGTGTGCTGGGTAGGGACCAGTCTCTGGCAGGGTGGCCTGGCAGGGATCCACTGTGGGTGACCTTAGGTGTGATTCCTCTTCCCCCATGGCATCCACTTTAAAAAACTGTAAAAAATTTTACAGAAAACTGTAAAAAAATTTACAGTTTTCTGATAATATTATCCTGTTTAGTTAAGGTTAAAAGGTAATGGTCATATTTGTGTTTATACAGCCTCTTGAATCTAATAATTTAATCTGCTTAGGCTTTCCTTGCTTTGTAACAGTTTTGTCTTGTTAGTGGCACAAGTATTTGTCCTACATGCAATAGGGAAAGGGTTTTTTTTAAGGGTCTGTCTTCTGAGATTTTTTGAACACTGCAGAAATTCCTAAAAGAGAAGGATGCTGGTTGAAGTAATTGGCAAGTGTTTAAATGGTGATGGAAAAACCTGGGTACAGGAGTAATTCTTCTGGGTCCTAACTGTTCTGTAGCTTCTTCTGATGCTGGTTGAAGTAATTGGCAAGTGTTTAAATGGTGATGGAAAAACCTGGGTACAGGAGTAATTTTGCATCTATATCTGTTTAAGGAGATGCTCAAAAGCTGCATATCTGTATGCACTTACATGTTCTCACATTACCAAGTTCTTCTGGGTCCTAACTGTTCTGTGGCTTCTTCTCATCCTGTTTCCTGCATCGTCATCAGATTTGCATTTTTACTTGTTATTTTCATCACTAAACTTGCCTTAAACTTGCCTTAAATGAGAATCTCATCGTGTTTACTGGCTGCAAAGCAAATGCAAACAGAATGAAAAAAATACTTCTTGCATGACTAGCCTTTGAATCAAGCATAATATTTATGGACTGTAAATATTTTTTGTATGAGCTGTATGGACAACTGCACTTTTAAACAAGTTTCCACCAAATCAAGGAAAAAAATAATAATACTCTCCATTATAGTTCTTTCTGGAACCTTTTTTCAATAAAGAAAATATTCCTAGAGCACTTTATATAATTTGCCTTAGAAAGTATAAAAGCATGGTTTTGAACCAATCCATTTGATGTGTTTTAGGTAAACTGATGCAAGTGGTGTTTGGACACTGGGATGTTGTAACCTGTCTGGCTCGTTCTGAGTCCTATATTGGAGGGAATTGTTACATTCTCTCAGGATCCCGGGATGCAACGTTGCTGCTTTGGTACTGGAATGGCAAAACCAACATCATTGGTGATAACCCAAGAGGTAAGCAGGAAAACCAGGTTTTCAAGGACATTGTCTAAAAAATGGCTCGAGTAAACCCTTTGCAAGACAAAGATTTAGGTCACATTAGCTATCAGTTACACAGACAGTGGATTGTAACTTGGACTCATTTCATTGAAATGAGATGTATCATGGCCTGAGCACAACTCCTGGGTGAAAGGCCAGGGAAGTGGGATGAATTAAAGAAGCAAGCCTTCTTTAAGAAAGACTCACCTTGTACTTCCCAGAGAAATTAGTCTCTTCCATCTTGCACCACTTCCCAGGAAAACTCTTTTTACTCATGAATATTCTTTCTAAAAGAGAGAACTCAGAGTTTTCTGTGGAAAGAATGAAACACTATGACTGTCCAACCATGCTGTGCCTCCAACAGGCATGGTAGAAAGGGGAAGTGGGATGAATTAAAGAAGCAAGCCTTCTTTAAGAAAGACTCACCTTGTACTTCCCAGAGAAATTAGTCTCTCCCATCTTGCACCACTTCCCAGGAAAACTCTTTTTACTCATGAATATTCTTTCTAAAAGAGAGAACTCAGAGTTTTCTGTGGAAAGCAATGACTGTCCAACCATGCTGTGCCTGTGTTTTATAACAGGCAAGGTAGAAAGTGATCTTGTTAATATGCCAGTTTCACTCCACACTAAAAATTGGTCCCTGGTGCCCAAAGCCAAGGAGGCAGCAGACAAAACACCTGAGGGAGCCAGTTCACAGGGGTAAGAACCTCTTCAGACAGCTGGTGAGAGCTTGCACACATGAATAGAAGGGCACATCACAGCCAAAGAGTGGTCTAGGGAAGAAGAAGTGGTATATCTGGCATATATTGCAGTTATAACTTGCATGTTATCTTTCATGTGATGTAAATATTATCTGACATCTTCCCAATCTGGTAAAGTTTTGTGTTCCATGCTTAACCTGTTACTCAACTGGAGTTCCTTGAATTTGAAAAAAGAGGTGGTTTGACTGAAATTGCCTCTCGTGAACTATTCATGGGAATAGATGTGGCTAGCAGGATTTTATGAGCATCTTGAAATAAATATGGCTTTGGTTGAGGGACAGAATCTCTGGGAATGCTTTTTACATATTTTGCAATCTATCAATGTAAAGAAAATGCAAACTCTGCTTTTTGGAGAGCTTGTAAACTTGGAACGCCAAAAACTCTGTGAAAGGAACTTCAGACCTTGACAGTCTAGCAAGTTTGTAAATCTTAAAGAAAAAAACTGCCCTTTTGAGGAGAAAACCTTAAATATTTTACTAGTGTGAAGCCATGGACATCTAGCAGTTCATCTTTGCAGGTTCCTAGGCCTGTCCTAAGAAGTTCTTGTTGAGAATTTGCTCAACTGCTTTATGAACAAGACCTTGAGGCTGAAGGCTCCTGTATGACCTGAACAGATCCCATGCTGAGATTATGTACCTAGTATCTAACTAGAATAGGTAAATTTTGTTATAAACTCTTTACTATCTTCTCTCATGCAGTTTTATAACATCAAAAATTTACAGTTTTCAAAGTCCACTTTCACTACTGTTTAAAATCAAACAATAGCTACCTGGTAAGTCTCTCTTTTTCTTTTATTTTTTTTTTCCCAATCCTATTAAACTTTTACTTTTGAGGACTTGCAATGACTCCTGTGTTTACTACTTTCCATTATGAAGCTTTTTTTTGTGATAAGAGCATGACTGGAAGTCTCTGTAAGGAATTGAAATCTCATGGCACTCTCTGTAGACCTAGAGATGTGTATAGTAAAAGACAGCTTCTGCTTCAAAGAGATGGTAATCTAGGGGGGTTAATTTTTCCCAGAAATAGCTTTCTATAGGCATCTCTGTTCAGTCTTTTTTTTTTTTTTAAAAAAAAAAGGCAAATAAAAAGAGCTGTTTCTGCTTAGTCCTGATTTTGTCAGAAATGGGAAGCACCAGCAGACTTGTTGGGGTTTGAGCCCTGCGACTGTAACTGTGGCAAGCTAAAGATTTAACTTGTCTGAGGTATTTTTGTGTTTGAAGCTTATGATTTTTTAACCTCAAAATATAGTTTATTCATGCTTTCAAAGAGCATTATTCATTGGAATTTTAGATATTCTCCAAGCTGATACTTATTTCCTCTTTTTTTCCTCTGTTTAATTATCTCTCATTTCCATCTTAAAATGACTTCACAGCAACATGCATCCAATAGCACTGTACCAAATGATGCCAGAGTAGTGTCAACAAAAATAATCTAAACCAGGAGCATTTAATTCCTCTTTTCATGGTACCTGTTCCCTCTGATACACATCAATCAGCAGACTAGTAGGATCAATCTGCCCTAAACACTGTTCCACTGGGCACTCTTTGATATTCTTCATCAAGGACAATTTTGTGGCCAACTGGACTATATGAAAAAATTCTTTATGTTTTTGATTTAGCAGAGGAAATACGTTACTGAAATGTTATTTACAGTCTTTAATTTTTAACTTTTAATCTGGCTTCTTAAAGAAATTGCACCTATGCAGTCTCACTGGCTGTTTAGTCTCTCCCTAATAATTCCTGAATGCGTTCATCAGTGTAGACCCAATTTGATGAATTTAAATCTCAAAGATATGAATTCCCTACATGGGACACATCTGTTGGAAAGGATTTTTATTCTTCACAAAACAGCTTGATTACATTTAGATTAAGTCCTTTTTTTCCTTCTCAAATTAAAACCTGAAATCCAAAAACTATTCCACCGTGCTCTTTGATCCAATCTAAGGTTTTTTTCTTTCTAAATTAATTGGTTTTGAAAAGGTAGAAGCATGGCAGTACACCAGTTTGGTGCACAAGCCTGTTCTGAAGCAGAAATGTTTCTGTGGAGTATTTCTGACCAAGCCTAGGAATAAGTCAGAGCAAAGCAGACCCGAAATAGTTGTATCCTTTAGAATAGCCCTGAGACGTTTTGAGCTCACACTAATTAGCATAATTTACTGTGGAGCTGTGAAGTCACTGTGGATAGCATAAGGGGGGTTTATTTTTCTTTCTTTTTTTTAAATTTTTCTTATTTTCTTTCTTTATTTTCCATGGCATGTGGCTTGCTTTGGGGAGGAGGGGGATGTAAGAGGGAGAGGATGTAACCTGCTGCTCAGGACGCCTTGGAGCCCATGTGTGAGCTGTTTCACAGTGTTTAGGGTTGGGGTTAAAGCCCACAAGCCTTTTGCAGGTTTAGAGGCTCCAACATAACAGCAAGGTACCACTTGGGGACGTGATTTTTGGGTTCCTGAATGGGGTGGTAGAATGCTTAGAGGTTGCTGGGAGAGGGTAAAAGCTCTTCTGGGGAAAGCTGCCCAGCCTAATGCCATGGAGGTGGAGAGGAGGTGACAAGTGGGGAGTGAGGGGAGGAATTATGTGTGGTGGCTGGAGAAAAGAGATGAGAGGCTTCATTTGCATGCAAATGGTGTGCATGGCTTTGAGATCTCACTATCACTTTGAAGCTCAAGCAGCAGCTCAGTGTTTGGACATTGCCTAGGTTGCAGGATTGCATTTCACTTTGTAATCACAGAACCATAGGAAACAGGAGGGGCAAGAGCTTTGGTCACCATTCTCTTCTCCTAAAGGAGGCTTAACTGCACCAAAACCATTCTCCACTGATGTTTGTCCAGTCTTCTGTGTAAGAACTGTGGCAGATGATACATTTTTGGGCTGCAGAAGCCCTGCCATTGGCAGTGCTTTCCCAGTGTTCAGTCTTCTTTTTTGCATCAGTTGCATCCTGTCATTTCTCAACATTTCCTCATTATTTTCTCAACGAGTTCCAGTTATTTGGATCACCATGACCTGCAAATCTTTGCTCCCAGATTTAATAACCCATTTTTTTTCTGTCCTTTGCCAGAAGTCATGGTTTTCCAGACCTCTGATTTCTTTTGTGTTCCTTTCCTCTTCAGTTGTCTGTCTTCTGCAAAGTAAACAAGCAATGCAGTTGAAACCTTCCCAATAATAAGCAGAAAACAACCTGTTTTACAGATCAGTGCCTTTCACATCCCCACAGGATATCTGTGTGTTTCAAAACAGCATGACAGTGTTAATTCTTTAAGTGTATGAGCCAATATAAATTTCAGACTTTTCAGAACCACCATCCACTCCGTTGTTTCTCCTCCTCTATATAGTTTGACTTGTTTTTAAACTTTGAGTTGTCTTCTTTTTAGAAGTTTCTCCAGTTTATCAAAATGCTTTTGAATTCTTATCCTATGACATTTTTAATTCTTTAAGTAAGTGTATGAGCCAATATAAATTTCAGACTTTTCAGAACCACCATCCACTCCGTTGTTTCTCCTCCTCTATACAGTTTGACTTGTTTTTAAACTTTCTGAATTGTCTTCTTTTTAGACTGTTTCTCCAGTTTGTCAAAATGCTTTTGAATTCTTATCCTGTCCTCCAGCAAACTTGCAAATGTAATTTGCAGTCATACCCTATCAAATTAGTCATTAAAGAAAGTATTAGTACACAGTTCAGAAATGGCCATCACTGCTTTTACCATTTGTTTTGGCAATGAACAGCTTTCTGAGGATGGCTTTCCAGCTGCCTTTTCATCTGATGTAGAGAAGCATCTTCTAAAAAAGTGCATCCCTATTTTCCTGAAAAAAAATGTGGATGTGGAGCAGTGCCAGAGCCCTCACCAAAGTCAGAGTATGTGATGTCTCCCTGAACACGAGTCCTGTTACTCTGCCATTGCAAGAACAAAATTGCTTTGACAGGATTTGTTCACAGCAAATCCAAATCAGCTGTTACTCATCTCCTTGTTTTCTTCTAGGAAACTTTGCATGTGTGTGGAGATGTAAAAGTATAAATGTCCTGCCAGTATTTTTTCTGTGTGTTGGGATTAACCAGACTACTTCTCATTTTTCAGTTTTCCTTTTCCCTCTTCTTAAAAAACACAGAGTTTCTTTTAGCCTTGCAGAACCTCACCCCATATCCATCAAACAACAGTTACAACTCTGGGTTTATGTAGTTTCATAGTCAAAATATCCTCAAATCTATTATGAGGCCAGTTGAGTTCCAAACTTTGCTTTATTTAAGTATTCTCTAATTGAGAGAGCAGTTCTCACTGCTGCTTTTTGGTTGTTTAATGCTGCCTGACTAGCTGGCCTTTTTATTGAACACTTTTACAGAAAAATTTGTAAATGTGTGGCAGCATCTACTGGTATTGCTTGCTCTTCATAACAGACCAACTTCTCATAAATAAAACACCACAGTTTTTGTGTTTATAGAAAGACTCTTATTCCTGGTCTCATCGTTAGCTGCCTCTCATCTGTACTTGCCTGTCTTGGTTTTGTCCCTGCTTGCTCATCCCTTGTCTCTTGCACTGGTTCAGAAAAATCTCACTTATTTTGATCTTTCCTGACTTTCCTGTGTTTACAGTCACTGGAGAACTTTCAGTTGTGCCAGTGCCTTCTTGTCTGTCTTATCCTCTCACTGCATTGAAGTGGTTTTCACGAGTACCCTTATTACCTTCTCCTTTTTTTTTTTTCTGTAGACCTAACTCCCCATGAGATCTTACAGAATAATGTTCTGTATCTGTTGAAACCTGTCTTCCCAAAATACTTCAAAAAAAATCTTGTTGCCCTTGTTGTTTAATTGTCTTAATATTGGCCTTGTTTATAAAATGGCTTGTGCTTATAAAATAAATATTTCCATAGGTGAAGTGAAGATAAATCATAATAAATGATAAATCAAGATAAATGCTGTTCTTGCATTATAGTCATAGAA